GGTGCCGTGGGCCCTGGGCGCCTGGTGCTGTTTGTGCTGAAGAGGGGAAGCACCCATTAATTATCGGCGGGAGCTGGCCCAGGAGAGAATGGCTGTGAAATTGGTTCAGTTCCATTGTCATGTGCTGGAAACAGGAAGGGAGTGTGTGTGTGACTGGCTCTCCACTGGCCCTGGGTGCAGCCAGGCTTTGTCACAGGCCATTAGCAATACAGGCTGCATAATGAGAGCTGCAATCAGCTCGCAGCTGCTGCTCCTAGGGGAGCCTGCGAGTGAGTGGAAATCAGGGTAAATTAAACTTAACCCTCTCCCTGCCACGCAAGGTCTGCGGGAGTGGAGAGCCGAGATCCCAGGCACCTGAGTAGGGCTGGTTCCCTTCTCCTCCCTGCTGGCCTCTGGGGACAGGGAGTGTGGCCGCTGGTGTAGTCTGCTCATGCTGTCGCTGCTCCACCCAAGACCCTGGGGGCTCTGCCCAGGGAAGAGTCAGAGGTCTCCCTCTAGTCCGCCACCCAGGCGGGTGGGCAGCTGACCCTGGCACCCCAGGGTCAGGTGAATGGGTGACTCCAGGAGCCTTGGATCGGGTGGGCAGGTGACCAGAGGACAGAGGTGGCAATCTACAGCACACCTGTTATTGTGTTTTTCTTTTAAGACAAAAGATGTCAATGTAGAGTTGTTTTTTCTAACCCTCAGTATCCAGGTGTAGTCGCAGTGCTGGCGCTTTGCGATACGTTAGTGGGTTTGGGGTGGCAGTTTGGCACTTGGTCTCTAAAAGGTTTGCCATCGTTGCCTGGAGACCTCAGCCCCAGACTGGCAGCTGACCCTAGGAGCCAGGTCTTGGGGTCTTACTTGAGCCTCTCCCTGGCAGGTGCTGTGAGCACAGGGTGTCCACACAGCAGGGGGCTCAGGGACAGCCAGGGCTCAGGAGAGGGCCATTCATCAGTGTCCCTGGGGCAGGCCAGGTGGGGCCTTAGGAATTATGAACTCCCTTATTCTGTACAGCCAACATGTGCCAAAGCGAAGACACCAGCCTGGTGGGAAGACAGCCATGTGTGTCCTTAGAGAACCATCCCAGCCCAGGAGGATCACAGCTTGTGAGGAGCAGGGGTGCAGAGAGAGGGGCCTGGCTAGGGCCAGAGGACCAGGTCCTCCCAGGAGGGACTAGTGGGTCTTGCTTCACAAGAAGCTGGTGACCCCGTCACTGCACTGCCAAGGGACATGGTGTGTGTGCCCATGAGAGGGGACCCCACTCTGTTTGGTGCCTGCTGCCATGTGCCAGCCTTTCCCAGGTGGCGCCTATTGGGCCTGGTGCTCCCTGCTCCCAGCTGTCTCGGGCTGTCACATGAAGCATCTTTACCATGTGGCATGGCGGTTGTCAGAGGACATGGCCTGCACCTCCGCCCACACTGCTCGCCACAAGCCAGGGGAGCACTCTGGGTCTGTGGAGCTCAGGACGGGGTCACTGCCAGCTTCACCCGCAGGTCTGGACCTGGGAAGCGTGGGCTGGGCAGTGGACCACACCTCCACTCCTGCCCCAAAAGCGCGGAGTGCTTGGCCACGCTGCACAGTCCTCCACAGGGGGCTCTGCCCACCCACCTGGGTCTCTGTGGGGAGCCAGGTGCACCCCACGTGGGCTCGCACAGTGGGGTGGGGGCATCCTGCTGGGCACCAGCCCCAATCTCCTGCATCTGTGGCGGCATGTTCTCTGCCACGTCTTCACACGAGCGTGGTAGGGTTGGTGCCAAGCTGTGCGGCCTCTTGGCTCCTCTGGACAAGCGTTTACACTGTGTTCTCTCAGCAGCCATCCTGGTGCACTGGAGCTACTGATCTGGGGATCAAATTGCACCCTAAATCTTGAGGTGTCTTTTATGCTCCAATGGCCTTCTCTCGGTTTTCCAGAGCACATACATGAAAGCCAGCGTGGGCTTGGCCTCCTGCACACACCTCACTGAGGGGCACTGCCCAATGCAGAACCAGACACTGGTGCCCGAGCAGTGTGTGACCTGTCTCCGGCTTACTGGGTGGCCCTAAAGCCACAGGGCTCAGCCAGAGGGCTTGGGTTTTCAAGTTCGTTTTGCCAGGGCCCCACGTCTTTGTGGCATCCAGTAGCCCAGCAGGTGCCACTCCAGCAGGAGCCTGGAAAGTTCAGGGTGTCCACCAGCCAGGCGCCCAAGCCTGCCGCCCCACCCTGGCCCCAGGCGGTTCACGGTTTGTTCGTCCCAGCCTCTGCCGTGGCTCTGCCATGGGGACGGCCTGCTGCCCTTGACGGGCCCTGTCCCTGCGTAGCCCAGCAGCATCTGCCCTGCTCTTCTTGTCCCCCCACATGCAGGTGGTCACGCTGCCTGGCTGCCGGGGACCTCGGCTTCACAAGCCCTGGAAGCCTCATTCCCGCCTCCCTGAGACCCCTCCACTGCCCATGCGTCTGGGGCCTTTGGTGTAAAAACTGCATGTGACTGCACCCCTGGCCTGGGCAGGGACACCCTGGCCTCTGTGGCTCTCGCGCTTCTGTCCACGTGCCTTGCAGCTTTCCACCACTGCCCCGGTCTCCCTGTGATGCCGCTGATTTTGTCTCTGGGAGAGCCGGATTGTGTGTGGCCAGCTGTGGGCCTGGCAGGCTTCTGGTGAGGTTTATGTTTCCACAGCCTGTACCGCTACCCTTCTGCTCTGTCCAGTGTCCTCCTGGGCTGCAGCCCCTACCTGGGTCCCCGAGCCTCCCTGCTGGCACATGGCGCCAGCCGGCTTCTCCACACAGGCACCACGGTTCCCAGAGCCTGTAGGTGGTGGCCCTGGCCAAGCCCTGTGGAACGGCCTAGGATCCCTGCTCCCCACCCGACTTGAGCCCCTCCCTGGAAGCCAAGGGCCGGGAGGACGGGAGGACAGGAGGGCCAGGCAGCCCTCAGAGCGGGTGGTGCAGGGTCCCTGTGCCTCCCGGGCCAGAGCCCACATGGAGAGGCATTTAGCCCATGGCCCAGGTTCCCTGACAGGAGCTGTTCCCGGCCCCACTGGGCAGCACATGGCGTCCCTGGGAGGCTCTTGGAAGAGGCCCCGGGGAACCAGAGGCTAGAATCTGAGGAACAGATTTGTTTGCAGTCACAGTTTAGGGCAGAGACGTGAAGCAGCCCTGCCTCTGAAAGCCAGGCATAAACCATGGAATGAGATTCCATCTGCCGCTCCGTGGTCCCAGAACAGAACTCCTTAACATATGCCACGGGCTGGTCAGGCCGGGTGTGCGGCAGAGGCCCCATGTCCGGAGTTTGTGCAGCTTGGTGGCGAGGTTGCCATAAAAAGCAAGTTGTTTAGTTTGTTGGGCGTGCGCCTCGAGGCGGTGACTGCCTCCGGGCCCATGCTGGGCAGCTGTGCACCCTGCCACGTGGGGATGGTGTCCTGGCACACGTGTGCACTGGTTCCTCCCTGCTCGGTGCTGACCTCTGTTGAGGCCTCACTAAACTCGGCTCAGTGTCCCTGGCCCTTGGTGCTGGGCTGGGTCCCAGGAGGATGACCATCCCCTCTGGCCAGTGGGATCCCCGTGTCCTCTGCACCTGAGCCCACGGGAGGGAATGAGCAGGAAGCTGCTGGTCCTTGAGGGGCCGAGGTGGCGCCATCCTGAGGTCACAAAGGACACACAGGGCTCCAGAGGAGGCGCTGAGAGAGTTTCCTGAGAGACCTCACTGTGTCTCCACGCACACCCCCTCAGCCGTGGCTCAGTGCTGTCTGTCCTGGGTCCTTGAGCACTTTGGGGCTTGGGATTTAAGGGGCTGGTATTTGTTTATTTGTTTTCCAGTACTAGAGGTTGAACCCATAGCCTTCACACTGAACTATGTCCCCAGCCCCGCTTTTTCTTTTTCTCAATTTTGAGACTGTTCTCCAAAGTCACAAAGTTGCTCAGGCTGGGCTCAAACTTGAGACCCTCCTGCCTCAGCCTCCCAGAGTGCTAAGACAATAGGCATGCATCTCCATACTGGGCTTTGAACCTGATCCTTAACTCGTTCTGCCCAGGGGTGCTGCCAGGGCGGGCGCCCTCTGACCACAGGGATGTTAAGCAGGTAGACACTGGGGCCCTGTCACCCTGCATATATCTGAGTCCCTGCTGCTCACAGAGCTCCTCACCTTCGGTAGGACGTGGCCTCATGGGCTCCCGGCCCCAGTGGGCCTCCAGTGTGGCTTTGTAAATGGTGCTGCATGGCTGCCTCTGTCGTGGGTGCCCAGGGTTGGCATACTCTGCTCCCAGGCTCCTCTCCGCTCTTCCCTTGACCCGGATTCTCTGGCAGCAGCAGCTCCAGGTGCATCTGACCCGAGGTCCCTGAACTCCGAGGTCCTGGTGCTTGGAAGCGAGGGCCTGGTGGTGTGGGGAGAATTCCCCTAAGAGTGGGCAAGTCCATAGTGTCCGCAGCCAGCACTGCCCAAGCGCTGTGCTCCTGGCCCACAGGGCGCACCTGGGGTGACTCCTGACCAGGCTCCGACTGGGCGGGACTTCTGTGTATCCAGAAGGCTGCAACTCTCCAGGGCTCACACTGAGGACCAGGAAGGCGGTGGGGTCCTCAGAGAGGGGTCCTGCAGGACTTAGCCAGGGAGCCCAAGTCCAGGGCAGGACAGTGGTCCCATGGGTGGACCCCAACACTGGGCCCCTGGCTGGGTGCAAGCACTGTCTCCCTCTGGGCAGGGGCAGGAGAGGCTGGGGGTGGCCTGGTGCCTGTGAGAGGCCCCGGGGATGGGCTGCTGCCCGGCCATACCACAGTTCCTGGGAACACGGGGCAGGCCATGTCCAGCCATTGGCTGGCTCTTGTCCGACGGCGCCCATCCAGGCCCCACTGTGGTTAACGGACTGGCCTGTGCCCTGGCCCAGGTCTCTAGGAGCAGGGGTGATGGATGGTGCCGTCCACGTTGGCTGTGTGTGGAACAGTAGAATGTTTGTGATTTGTGCCAGGAGTGGCCCCGAGGAGCAGGAGCATGTGACAGACACAGAGGCCTCAGCGCTGCCGTCGAGGCCGGCTGGGGGTGTCCCCGCTCCTGCATGTGGTTGTGATCATGGGGGAGCCCTGGCTGGGGTGCCGCCGTGCCTGGATCCCACCAGGCAGAGATGGGCGGGTGTGTCGCCTCACTCAGGGAAGAGTCAGGTGGCTGTGGGGATGGTGAGGTCGGGTGCCGAGGACAGTGGACCCCCCAGAAACCAGAAAGGGGCCGGCAGTGACCACCCAGCCCCCGCCACGGTGGGAGTCGGAAGGCACACGACCCACTTGCACTTCGCTAGGACAAGGCTGGGAATCCTTGGTGGCTCTGAGATGCGGCTGGACTCTTCCTGGCACAGCCCCGCCCAGGGCAGAGGCAGAGCCGCGAGACTTGGTGCTGGGCACTGTGTTTTAAAAATGCCACACAGCCCACTGATAACTGGTGATTCCTGGTTGCTCTGAAGCAAACAGGGCCTCCGCGTATGGGTGCAGGGACTCTTGCTGCGACGCCAGGGCAGGACTATGCCAGCCCCCTCCACGGCAAAGGCAGAGTGGAAAGACAGGGATCCAGTGCAGGGGTGACGTGTGCCCCACTCGGGCACAGGGACCCGGGACCCTCCTGATGCCCCAAGCCCCGCGGAGGCTCTTCTGCTGACCAGGCACATCCAGGCGGCCCAGGCTGCTGCCAAGCTCGCTTTTCCAGGGGACACCGCTGTGTTCAAGGACAGCAGTTACTGGATCCGCGGCCGGACGTCTGTAGACATCATCAAGACTGGAGGGTACAAGGTCAGCGCACTGGAGATCGAGCGGCACCTGCTGGCCCACCCCAGCATCGCAGGTGAGAGCCCGGGACCTGCTCGTATGGGGCTGACCGTTCTGGGGACCCTCTGGACCCAGCGGCCCCTCCCACCCACCAGCAGGGCTCCCATGTGGCCTGCAGGTCTCAGGGGCATGGGCACCTGCGTGTGCGTGTGTGGGGCCTGCAGAGGGCACCAGGCACCTCCAAGCACCCCAGCCTGTTTTTTATTTTTTATATTTTTGGTTTTTTTCTGGTACTGGAAATCGAACTTACGACCTCTCGCTTGCCAGGCAGGCGCTGTGCCGCTGAGCTAAATCCCCAGCCCTCCCATCCTGTTCTTCTGTCCTCAGATGTGGCTGTGATTGGCATTCCGGACGTGACATGGGGCCAGCGGGTCACAGCAGTGGTGGCCCTGGAAGCAGGACACTCACTGTCCCACAGTGATCTCAAGGAGTGGGCCAGGTATGCTGGGGTTACACGCCCCTCCTGAGGGGCACAGGAGCCTGGAAAGGCCCCTGGAGCCAGCCTCAAGCAGGCACTTGGGAGGCAGCTACTGAGAAGGCAGACACATGTGTCCCTGAGACATGAGCAAGAAAATCCGTCTCAGTTTTGGAATAAGACCCAAAACAGTGCTAGGCCTCACCCCTGGAAACAAGCTCCCCTGATCCTGAGCAGGCCAGGACAGGGACTCTGCCCCTTCCCTCCTGTAGGATCCCAAGGCCCCTGCACCCCCTGGAGACTCTGCCCTCTCCTTGGCCTTGTCCCTGTCCTTGCTGGCCTGAGCACTGCCCCCTCAGAGTCCCAGGGCCCCAGAGCCTGTCCTGCCCACATGCTCCCCCAAGCCACACCACATCCTAAGCAGGCACACCAGGCCAGCAGGGCCCTTGACCCTCTGCAGCAGACCTCAGGAGCCCAGGAAGCTTTGGCCCCATCTGCAGCTATGGCCCTTACCCCATGCTCTCCTTAAACCTGTGGCACCCCAGCTCCCCTACCTCCTCCTCCCCCTACTCCTTTTCCCCCTCCCCCTTCTCCCCTCCTCCATCTCCTCCTCCTCTTCTGCCTACTTCCCCTCCTCCTCCATCTCCTCTTCCTCCACCTCCTCTATCTCTTCCACCTCCATCTTCTTCTCAGCCTCCTCCTTCTCCTCCACCTCCTCCTCTGTCTCCTCCTCCTCCTCCTCCTCAGAGAGATATTTTCAGTCCTGGTCCCGTGGATCCACACAGCAGGAGTCCCTGGCTCATCAGGGCAGCACAGCTGGGCAATTACAGATTCCCTGGATCTGCAGAATCCCAGTTGGAACACAGTAGTCACAAAGGCAGGAGTCGGTGGGTGGCTGCTGCTTTGATTAAACAATTACTTTGTTAAAAAGAAAGAAGAAAACGAGCAGGTGCGTGTGTGACGGCTGCCCTGGTGTCTCGGGACGGAGATGGCTGTGAGCCTCTTCTCCTCAGGCCGCGGGCACCAGGCCATGCCCCTGCAGGCTGCAGCAACCCTGCACATCTCAGGCCCGGGTCAAGCTCCCCCTGGCACCTGCAGGGCCTGTGCTGGTTGTCACAGCTCATGGTGTGGCTTTGGAGACCTCAAGGCCAGAGTTGTTCGGACACTGGACACACACAGGGAGCTCCAGCTTGCACCCTCACACTGGGCGGCCATCCCACAGGCCATGCCTGGTCAGGCCTCCAGTCCCCAGGCGGAGCACGCAGTGACTGAGACAGTGCTGTCTCCGCAGGCGCTTCCTGGCCCCCTATGCTGTGCCCTCAGACCTCCTGCTGGTGGAGGAGATCCCGCGGAACCAGATGGGCAAGATCAACAAGAAGGACCTGGCCAGGCAGTTCTACCCTGAGTGATCTGTCCGGGGCCAGCGCTTACTGTGGTCCTTGGCCCAGCACCCTCCATATAGCACCCGGATCAGGCTGAACAGAATCAAGACGCTATGGGATGAAATCACTGCGTGAGGCCTCCCCAGGCACAGGCTCCTGCCGCAGTTCACAGTGGCCCCAGTTGCTGCCATGTCCACCATGGCCGGACACCTCCAGTGGCCAAGGCTGCTGGGCTTTCTCCAGGGCAGGTCTTGAGGGACCTCCGGTGTTCCCAGAGAAGGGGAATGAAATCGAGGTGGGCCTGCACGTCTGGCCTTGCTGTCCACTCGCCGTGCACCTCCGAGCTGCGTGGCTGGGCCGTGTGGTCGCCGTGTGCTGGGTGCCCTGCAGGACCAGCCCACACCAGCCCTGCCCCTGTGCCCCGAAGGCTCCCACCCCAGGCACAGCCATCGCCCTTCTCGTGACTGTGTCTGCCACGTGCGCTGCAGGGAGCTCAGTGTCCTCTGGGCTGTCCCCAGACAGCCCTGCGGCTGCTCTTCAGGGACCCTCGGCCCCACCGCCCGCAGCGCAGGACCTGCTGGGCCTCCGGTCTCTCCCCGCACCACTCGCTCCAGCTGCTGTCTGTGTCGTCTCCTGGCTCCCCGCTCTGCCCTCCGCAGCCCTCACAAGGCCCGTGCAGAGCCGCAGCCGCCACCTCTGCACCCCGGGTCACACCCGCTCAGGTGCGGTGTCGCCAGCCACAGCAGGTCACAGCCTCTCGGTGGTGGGTTGGTCCCCGCCCCGCCCAGCTCCCACAGGAGACTCGGACACAGGCAGTGGTCACTGGCCACCCGGCCTTGTGCTGTCCTCACAGCTGGCCTGGGGGTCCATTCTTCCCCCAGGAGCTCTCCGCCAGGAGGCACTCAGGTCAGCCTGGGTCTGAGGCAGCTGCGGAAGTCCCTTCTGCTGGGGAAACAACTGAACTCCACACTGCCGGATTAAGTGTGTAGATTTCACACTTTTTTTTTTTTTTGAGAGAGCATCTTGCTGTGTAGTTCAGACTGGCCTTGAACTCACTTTGCAATGCTCCTCCTGCCTCAGCCTCTTGAGTGCTGGGGTTACAGGTGTGTGCCATGCTGCCCGGCTGATTTCACACTCTTAACTTGTTTGATTCTGAAGTTTTGATTCCTAAGGTTTCCATAACCATCTGACTTATGTCCTAGTCTCTGTCAAACACCCTCTTAGTCATGACAGAATGCATGCCTTCACCCCCGCCATTCCCTGCGGACAGCGGTCAGGACCAGCGTCTGCGTCACCTGGACTCCTGCATCCGCCCTGGCTCTCCCCCGCGCCCAGAGGCCCTGTTGCGCAGCTTCCTGCTCGCTGAAGGCCGCTGCATCCTGGCTCAGCACCTGGTCTCTGTGGCTTCTGGGAGGGAAGCGACTCGGACCCCAGGCAAGGGCAGGGTGCTTGGGGAGCTGCAGGCCCCTGCTGGGGACTGTGGATGTCAGGGATGGCGGCCAGGCCCTCGGGCCCCTGTGCAACCCTGAGTTGTCCTGCTGCCCTCCCGGCCTGTGGAGCCACCCTTTAGGTGGGCATTGGGAACGTGTGAGGCAGGGCCGTCCCACGGAGCTGCAGGGACGCGTGGGTGCCGACGCCCAGCTCTTCCTCTCCCCGCCTCCTCCAGTCCACCTGAGCTTCCCCACACAGCGCTGAGGTCCCTGCAGTCAGAGTTGCACAGGCCACGGTGAGCTAGGGGTAGCTGGTGCTTGCTTCTGACCCTGCCAGGAGGAAAGGGGGCACACAGGCACATCCCACCCATGCCCATGGCCAGGAGGCCAGGGTGGCCCCTCTGAGGCCCCTCGCCGTCTGTCTTCTGGCACTGCTGGGAGTGCTGGGGATGGCTGGGATATGGCATTTCTAGCCCTCAGAGCTCGACCCAATGGGCACCCCGCCCTGCACCTGCTGGGGCTTCTTCCGCTCCCACAGCTCCCACAGCACAGTCTGCAGATGGAGCAGTGACTGGCGTCCTGCCATAGCCTGGGAGAGGACAGCGGCTGGGACCAGCACGGCCCCGGGCTTTCTAAACAGGGCCAGTCAAACGTCAGAGGAGAAACCAAGCCTGTGCAGCAGCCCCTCCCTTGGAGCGCTCGCTTCGGGCTGGGCCGGGAGCTGTAGAAGCCCCAGGTGGTGGACACTCCTTACAGTGGGACCCTGGTGCACCAGCCACGTCCTGTGAGGCGGCCCCATCGGGGTCAGCAGGGCTGAGGCCTCAGACGCCCGTCCTCACCCTGGGACCTGTGGCTGGTGTAGAGGAAGAGCAGCAGCTCACTTAGGACAGGGCAGTCCTGTGACCCCGGCCCAGGGTCACCGCAGGGTTGGGGGTGGGTGAGGCAGGATTCAGGTGGTGGGAGGCTGGCTGGCCCCGTGGAGGACAGCTCTGGGAGGAGCACAGCAGGTGGGGCTCAGGACGGCAGCGGCCCCGACACCGGATGTGGCAAACCCTCGAGGCCACCTTGGTAGCCCTAACCCACACGGCGGCTGCTGACTTGAGAGGTCTGGGGGCTCGTGCAGGGCCACCCTGGTCTTGTCGGGGCCTGGCTTGTCCTATCCCCACTATGGCTTCCTCCATGACACCTCTGCCTATGGCCAAGCGGACTTCCTGTGCCTCTCAAGGGAGAGCGGATGGCAGGGCCAGGCCCACTTGGGCCACAGCAGCAGGAAGGGCAGGCCGGGCACAGCTGTGCCCTCTGCCCAGCCTAGCCAGCCTAGCCTGCGTGTGGGTCCCCAAGTTGACATTTTCTCACAGCAGACGCACCTCCCGCTAAGCACATGGCCCCTCATCTGTGGAGAGGGCCAGCTGCTGCAGTTGAGGGCCTGAGGAGGAGCAGTTTGGAAAACACCTTCCAGAACATTCTGTGCCAGCTCCCAGCGACTGCAGGCTGGGCGGCAGGTTTCTTCTTGGTCCTCAGTCCCAAGGAGTCAGAGCAAAAGATGGCACAGGTGCCCCGGCCAAGCTGCCCTCCTTGCACAGGTGGTGGCTTAGGGTCACATCCAGGCAGGGGCATGGCTGCTCATCTGGCTTCCCTGCGTCTGACGCCGCCCCTCCTGAGCCCATCTGGTTCCTGTGGGCCCTAGGCTGTGACCTCTGACCCTGACTCGGGCCCAGGCCACGCGCACCTGGGCGCCCGCCTGTCTCCTTCCTGCGGCCCCTCCCACCGTCCCTGGGGTCCGCGCAGGGCCCTGAGTGTGAGCATGTCAGCTGTGTGCACAGACACCTGCGTGTGCAGCAGAAGTGAGCACCCACAGGCTGCGTGTCCCTCTGCAAAAGCAGCCACTGGCAGCCAGGAGTCCCTCAGGGGGGCGTCTGCTTGGGTTGGTGAGCGGGAGAGACAGGCACGAGTGTGCGTGTGCACATGTACATTACACAAGTCACCCGCAGGTGTGCACAGATGTGTGTGTCAAGCCACAGGGTGGTATTCAGATACTTTTTTTTTTTGGTACCAGGAATTGAACTCACAACCTTGTGCTTGCTAGGCAGGCATTGTGCCATTGAGCTACATCCCCGGCCCCAACAGGCTGGTATTTAAATGCCCCTCTTGGTGCCCTTTCACCCTCTGCCTCCCGTGACTTCACGTCGTGAGCACTGAGCCCAACCCGAGGAGCGGCCACAGTGGCCCCACGGGGACCGTGGGGTTGCTGACATAGTGACCCCCATTTCTCAATCCTGCCCGACTCCCTGCAGGGTTTTCTTGTCGCCGTTCTCTTGTGTTGGATCAATAACATTCTCTACATGTTTCTTGGCGTGTTTGAATATTATAAGCTAAATTTCTGTTCTTTGGTGAGTATCCCTAACATTTCTAGACAGAGAAGCCAGAGCCCAGCTGATGCAGCACTCACCTTGCACGCGCAAGGTCCTGCTTTGACCCGCAGCCCTGGAAGGAGGAAGCAACCACACCCGAGGTGAGGAGCTGGCGCAGCTGGGTCTCTCGTGCCATTCTAGTCAGTCCTCGCATGGCCCCGCGGGCCGCTGACCGTCACTGTCCCTGCTGCCGCCCTGTTTTCCTACAGTCACCTTGTTTTGTCTGACATAAAGTTGACGTGCTTTGTTTTCACGTCCGCAGTTACATTCGACATCCTGTCATCCTGTGGGCTTGGCTCGATTTTGCACATGGTGCCAGCTCTTCTCCCTTGGGGGGGTACACCCTGGGTCCCATCCCCACCGTGCCCCTCCTGGAACCACCCTCCACCGCGTGTGGAGTGCAAGCCTTGCATCCTGGCCTCTGGTTGTCAGCAAGCAGCCTTCGGCCTTCATGGCTTCGAAGCTAGCTGGTCTTTTTTTCTGGTGCTTCTAAGAGTGGCTTTGTGCTGGGCACCACTGTCACTGGGACACGGCAGCGAGGATCCTTTCTGCTGTCACTGTCCCCTCCCCCTCTTTTTCTTTCAGTACTGAGGATAGAACTCGGAGTCTTCACACTGAGATACACCCCCAGCCCTTTATTTATCTGGAGACAGGGTCTCACTAAGTTGTCCAGGCTGGACTTGAACTTGTGGTCCTTCCTGCCTCAGCCTTCCAGAGTGCTGGGATGACAGCCTGCACCCTTACGCCCAGCTCCCCGCTCTTCTGCCCATCAGGCAGACGCACTGTGTAGGCAGCGTGGGGCTTGCACCCCAGGACAGTGCCCACCCTCCTTGGGGTGGCCAGGCCAGAGCCCCCACTCTGACCTTCTGGCCTCAGCACAGGCCTCTGCTCTGCCTGTCCAGCTCCACCCTGTCCCATGGGGCTCTTCTGCCACCAGCCACAGAGCTCAGGCCCCTCCTGGACCTGACCTAGGCAGCCCAGGCTCACCTGGGGCCCAGCAGTCCTTCTGCCACAGCCACTGCATTTCCCCCAGGAGCACCCATCCTGGGACTGGCAGGGGCTTCTCTGAGGCCCTGACTCGGGGTCCCTGGGACCTCTGTGCCCGCCCAGACATAGATGCACTCAGACACGGGGCTGCTGCATGCGGCTCTGCCTGTGTGACTTCAGCCCGGAAGATGCAGGCAGGTCAGGGAGGCAGCAGGGCCACTGTGAGAGCACTTGGGAGAGGAGTGGCCACAGAGGGCCCATGCAGGGGCAGTTCTGGGGAGGGCAGCCACCCATGGGAGGCCAGCAGCAAGTGGCAACCAAGGCCCATGACCTGGAGGCAATCAGTGTGGCCGTAGGAGGGGTGCAGAGTGCAGAGGCCGGGGAGGGTCCACAACACGCCAGTGTCCAGTGTGGCCTCTTGGACAGATGTGGGGAGGAGTGGCAGAAGGCCAGGAGCCAGGGTATGGGTCACGTATGCACTCAGTACCTCGAATGGCACCCGCTGGGAGGGCACGAGACGTGTGGCAAGGGCTGGGCCTGACCTGTGAGGGTGGTGAGAGCAGGCAGGGCACTGTCATATCCTGGGAGCTGGGCTCTACCTCTCAGCCAGGAACAACAGCAGAGGTCAGGAGCCCCCCAGCAGTGCCAGCTCCCGGGCCAAAGGTCCTGCTCTCTGCACACCTGTGGCCTTGCCTGGTGGTTGACGGCCATGCTGTCTGCCAACTCCTGTGTCCCGGGGCGTGGTACCCTCCTGGGCCTCTGCTGGCCCAAGCGTACTCTGTCTGGAGGAGAATGAGGGCAGCAGAAGAAGCTGTGGGCTCCGAGCCCGACATCCCCCAGCCTCTCGCCCTGCCCTGCAACTGCAGAGGGACACGTCCTGTCTTCCTGTGTGGCCTCCGCTACCTAGACCGCAGCCTGGAGGAGCAGAGGAGCAGCAGCCATGCACTGGCAGGGTTGACTACCCTGCAGCACTGACCTAATCTGAATGGCTGTTATGTGATCTACGGGGCTGCGGGAGCCGCCTTCCACCCGATGTTGACTGAAGGACAGTGGTGCAGCCTGGGAGGCTGTGGGGGCTGAGTGTGCACCTGGGACACCTTGCTCCCGCCCCACTCCCTCTCCCTGCAGAGGCGCCAGGCCAGGCAGGAAAAACAGAGGGCAGATGAGGAACAGAGCCCATCCTGATCTCCATGTGCCAGGGGCTCAGAACCAGGACTCCTGGTCTCTGTGGCAGCTTGGCTGGAGCTCCAGGAAGCCCCAGCACCACGCAGCTCTGACACAGGTGCCCCTGGGGTCCAGCTGCCTGGGGCCTGGGGAGGTGGGTGGCCCTGGGCAGAGCTGAAGAGCATGTGGGTGACCCCTCTTCCCTGACCCGCCCTGCCACCAGCCCTCACACTGTGGAGCAGTGCCAGGCTGGCCACGGGAAGCCTGGCCACCACAGCTGCGGGGCCAGGGCTGGGATGAGACCTGCCACCTGCCACACCTGTGGGGACCCCTGCTGAAGGGAGTGGAGGGCAGGGAGAGTCCAGGTTCTGGGCCTCCCTGTCAGGAGCAGCATGTTCATGCAGCTGACCGGTCCAGGCCAGGGGTGGCTGCAAGAAAGCGCCTGAGCCCCTGAGGGCCGGGCTGGCCACCTACCCCCATGCCTACACTGGCATCCCTGGAGCCATACTGCCCCCTACTGCTGCCAATGGGGGTGGCAGAAGCTGTTAGCCAGGCACCTCAGGCGCTGTAGAGAGCCTGGCGGGGCCAGTTCTCATTGGGGTCCTTGCTCTGCTGTGCCCAGTTAGGGCACACATGAAACCAGGTGGGCTGAGGCGGAAGCTGGGCCACTGCCAACCAGGTCTTCTGACCCCAAGGGGAGGGTAAGAAAGGTCAGGGTCAGGGCTTCCGGTAGGAGGACCCCGTCCCAGCAATCAGAGGCTTGAGGTTCAGCAGGAGCCCTGGAAAGTGGCTGCACCCCCAGACCCCCTCTGCCCACTGCCTGTAGTACCAGGGTTGACTGCTGGCTCTGGTCCTGGTCCTCATGACTGCAGAGGCCTTGGGGCAGCCGGCACACCCCCAACAAGCAGCCTCTCTGATCTGCTGTTTTTGTCCATTTGTCTGTCTGTCTGTCTGTAATTTTGAATGCCCAAGACTTTTAAAAGAGACCTGGCAGGTGATGATTCTTCTGTGCCTGTAGGGGGCGTCCCAGACTCTGAACAAAGACAGTGTCCCTCACCCCATAGACGCCACTCTGCAGTCTCCTGCACTGTGCCCCTTGGCCACTAGAGGGCGCGCAGTGATCTGGACACCAGGGCCAGGTGTCCAGAGCAGAGATGTGGCCACCAGCCCCAGGTCCAGCCCCAACCTGCCTCTGCCGCGGAGCGGGTGTTTAGCGCATGGGAAGCCCCTCTGCAGGATCTTACGGTCTCTGCAGTCCACAATGGCCAGGCCCAGGGATTGAGGGCACTCAGCTGTCCTGGTTGACCTCCAGCCCAGGTCTAGGCCCCTCGAACCCTCCTTCACCTGCACCTGAGCCGGAGGAGCTGGCTCCCCCAGCCTGGGCCCGTCCCAAGTGCCCAGCTTCACACTTGCATCTCTGCACAGAAGAGTCTGGACCTGTCAGGGCCGTGCTGTCCCAAAGTCTGTCAACGGAGCCTCATGAGGACAGAACTCCCGGCCCGTGGCCCTGTGTGCACGCCATTCACCTCGACTGTAAATGCACTGTGACCTCAGATCCTCGCTGCGCCATTCGCAGCAGGGCAGCCTCGGCCCCACAGCTCTCCTGAGAGCTGGAACTCCTCTAGCACCAAGTGTGGTGCTGGGGGGCCCTCACGTGGACCCCTTACACGAGCCAGCAGCACCCCAGTCTCCTCCCGAGCCTCAGAAGCAGTGGGCCCCTCCTCTGTGTGGGTGACCGGGTGCCAGGGCAGGGCCGCCCAAAGCAGCCGGCCACCCTCAGAGCAGACCAGGGCACAGCAAGCTGACCACAGCAGCAATGCCACGGCTCCTAGGACGGAGGAGGGCGTCCTGGCAGGGCCAGCAGCCCCGACCCCGAGTCCGCTGCTTGAGAAAGCTAGTCACAGCGCTTGCAGCGGGGCCTTCCAGGCCCAGGCTTAGGGACCCCCAGCTCCCCATCCAGAGGGTGGCAGGTATGATCTGGAATCAAACGACTGCCATGTCCCACAGGAGGCAGAGGGAAGGAGGTTTTGGGAGGAGCCCGGGAGCGGGGTGTGGAGGGGTGAGGCGAAGTAGAGGGAGGCACTGCAGGCAGTGGGCCTGGAGGAGGGGGCAGGGGCAGAAGCCTGCTGGGGCCGAGCTGTGAGGGCTGCACTGGCAGGAGGCGGTGGGGCTGGGCTGCCCAGGAGCCGGGTGAGCAGGTGGACAGAGTCCACCCAGGCTGTGGTGCACACCGAGGCCGCAGGCCTGGTGGGGTCTTCCAGGGGAGGGAAGCAGGGAGAAGCCCCCCCAGGACCCCAGGTGCCGCACAGGGTCTCCTGGGTACCGACCTTGGCCTCGCTGGCCTCGTCCCTCTGCCCACAGGTCGCGGGTATCCAGGTCTGAGGGTCTCCACTGCGCTGGAGTCGGCCTGTCCCCTGGGACGACATGGAAGGGGCACCAGCACCCCACTGTCAGGGCATCATTTCTCCCGCATCGTGGGTACAGGACACCTTCCTCCACCAGCAGTTCTGGGCTCCTGCTGCTGGTGCCCTCTGGGCCACACACTGCAGGGGGCACAGGGGACCCCATGGGCCATGGGGTCCAAAGCAAGGAGGGGCCACCGGGGCCAGCGAGGACAGCACCTGAGTCTTGTGACCGCCGCAAGGGAGGATGGGCTGCGGGGTGCCGGCCCCGCGGGAGCCAGGCAGGAGGGCTGGGCAGGGCCAGGGAGGCGAACCAGCCCAAGCCCAGGTGAAGCGCGTCCAACACCCAGGGGGAGACCCCACACCCGCCCTCCCCCGGAGCCATTCCTGAGGCTGGGCCTCGGCCCCGAGGGAGTGCCCAAGTCAGCGGGCTCCCACTGCTGTTCCCGAGTCTACTCAGGGTCGCCTCTAACCCTAACCCCAACCACACCCCGAGGGCACCGCCCTCCCGGCGTGGGACCAGCCGCGCAAGGCCGCGCGGAGCGGCCCGGCGACTGCTGGGAGTCCAGTCCGCGCTGACCCGGCCCTCCCCTTCCCCTCCTTTCCCACGGGCTTCCCGCCCCTCTCCCTCCAACCGGCCTGCGGACAGGCCCGCTGACGGCGCTGAACTTGGGACCCGCTCCGCGCTCGGCTCCGCCCCGCCCCGCCCCCACGTGCTGTCACTCCGCCGGGCGGCTCCGCC